ACAAATCCCCTTAACAGGAACCTTGTTTGGGGATCTGATTTTAATTAAAAGAGCTCTGTTATCAATGATAAACTCTCATTCACTCCCTTCAACCAGTCTGCCTCCCATCAGTACTTATGTTCACCAATGAACATCCCTCAGTACACATTTGGATCTTTCTATATTTTTCCTTAGTCCTGTACTTCCAAAGCTGACTAAACAACTTCTATCAGTCTGCTCCTGACTTGAAAGTCACCTCCATCTAAATTCTATTGCTTGTTGTGTATATGTGTGTATTTGTATATTTTTTATCTATAGCATTAAACTATGCTGGGTAACAACCCCAAATATAAGTGGCTTACCACAATGGTTTCTTTCTCATTCACATTAAATACTGGTAGTTGCAGGCTGGCTATAACTCTGCTTTATACACCTTCTCATTCCAGGACCCAGACTGAAGAAGTACCCCCATCTAGAACATGCTATCCTCAAATTAGAAGGAAAAAGAGCAAGAGAGTTAGAATAAACAAAGAACTCCTATGACTCAAAACAAAAAAAAACAAACAACCTGATTAAAAAATGGGCAAAGGACTTGAACAGACATTACTCCAATGAAGCGATAGAAATGGCCAACAAGCATACAAAAAGATGCTCAACATCAGTAATCATTAGGAAAATGCAAATAAAAACTGTATTTTTTCTGAATATTCAAAACAAACATCACACTCTTTTAAAAATATTTTTATCATTGAGTAGAAAGAGAGGCACTGTTATTAATTTGACACACGCTCCCCACTCCGTCTTCCAATTCCACTCCACCTATAAATACATCAAGGAGCCTGGGTTGTGGGCAGTATGTGCGTAGTAGGGTAGGATGAGAGGAAGTTATCATCTGCTAGGTATTATACATCATATTATTTAAATATCCCATTATAGACATAAAAAGGGGTTCAGAGAGCTTGAGTAATTTGCCTAGTGTGTCACAATGAGGTTCAGGCTTGTGGCCCAGAATGGAGGAGGTGAAAACACTACAACTTGCTCATCAAATCACACAGGAGCATAGATCTGGGGGGGAAAGTGGTACTACCTGCAAACTTCCTAGAGAAGGAAATAACGTGAGAAGTTTGGTTATATGGTAATCTTCCCAGCTTTTTCTTTCTTTTTTTTTTTTATTAAGGTATTACATATGTGTCCTTATCCCACCATAACCCGCCCCCCCGACCTCCCCGACTCATGCCCTCACCCTCCTGTCCAACTTTTTCTTATTTATGCCATGGGCCATTTAGATCCCTTGCCGCTCCCTGGAAACTTGGGAGATGATGCCCGTTTTACAAATAGATCCCTCAAGTCCATCCATCGGTCAGATGTTTGTTTGCTTCTTTTCAGTTCTGAGTTGAACATGGTCTAACCACTTTGAGAGGTCAACAAATATAAATCTGTACTCAAATATGCTTCCACTATTACTAGGAGCAGTGAAAACACAAGAGATTCTCTGTCCAAGGTTAGGCCACAGTGTTACACCTCTCAGATAAGAGACCAGGGGTCAGGCATAACTTTTGTTTGTATTCAGTGAGCCAAGATTCATGTAGTCAGGTCCACAGGCCTTCATTCAGAAACTGATTCCCCCATAGCTCCCTTTCCTTTATTATTGATTTTCATTTCCTGGGAAACACAACATGACTCTAATTAGCGAATGAGGCCACATTCCAAAGCCACAGATTCCATTCTCCTCCCTCGACTCTTCCCTGGACTGTTTGGACCCTATGTAACATGATGTCTCACGGTCGAAACTGTCCTTTGCTCCTGGCCTTGGCAGGAAGGCATGCCCCAAGCTACAGTCTCCAGCTTTTATTTTCCATCTGCAGGGTGATTCACTGCAAGGAGAGTAACAACTGAAGATGTGGAGACACACACCTCACAGACAGCTGTGGGAATCAGATTGGATCTGCACTCAAGCATGCTGGAAATAAAAGACCATTGACTTTGGCATTGGGATGAAAACCTCTGCCAAACACACAGACAGTCTCTCTCTCTCTCCCTCTCTCTCTCTCTCTCTCTCTCTCTCTCTCTCTCACACACACACACACACACACACATACACACACACACACCTTTCAGAGAGACTGTACAGTTCCCCACATATGGCAAACATATTTTAGGGGAAGCACCATGACTAGAGGCCAGTGGGAGAGAAAGAAAAGGAAAATAATGAGAAAAATCTTCAATAAGCCTAAATTGTTCCAGTCAGACCGCTGAGAAAGAATGCAAAGGATTGGAGATGAAAATTATTGGTAAAATCAGCATTATAACCTAGCTAAATTCTTTCCTACTCCAAATGTTACTAGAACTTACTCTGAAGACACCAGTAGCACCTGGGGAACAAGCCTTTCTGTTTAGCTGGAAGCACTTTGCCTAACACAACAGACATACGTGAAAAGAGTACATTATATAAAACAAAAATGTTTTCCTCTAATTCACAATTTCAAATATTCTTAATTTTACTTGTAAATAATTATGTGTGTGTGGGGGGGAGGTAAAGAATACAGGTATAACCAATTTTTTTTAATTTAAATTCTTTATTGTTTGAAGTATTACATGAGTCTCCCTTTTCCCCCATTGAGCTCTCCCCAGCAGCTCCCACGCCCCAGCACATGCCCTCACCCCCTACTGTCTGTGTCCATTGGTTTTGCTCATATGCATGCATACAAGTCCTTTGGTGATCTCTTACCCCCTTACTCCCTGCCTTCCCTCATAGGTTGGACAGTCTGTTCGATGCTTCTATGTCTCTGGTTCTATTTTTGTTCATCAGGTATAACTAATTTTAACTGGCAGTGGATCCCAACACTTTAAGTACAATTGTTTTCTAAATTCCATTTTCTCTGTGACATATTTAACGATCAATTAAATGCACTGTGAAATTACCAACGTAAAGGAACTAACAAAATCCTTGTTAGAATGTAAACAACTGATCTCTAAATTATGTTTTATAAGAATTGATTTATCAAATTTTCTAAAAATAAAACCGGAGAAAAGACTCCAGTTTCTGCTTTACAGAGTTATTGGTGAAAGTTAATCAGATCGCCTGAAGGAACACAAAAAATCTGATAATTGAAAGTGGTGGAGTGGAAGAAACACTGGCCTGGTGTTCTTGGGGCCTCATTCTAAGGGCTCTCCTTAAACTGAGTTTAGAGTTTCACCCCCGAGGGTGGAAGGGAGGTGCCGATGCATTCTAAGTAGAAAGATGACCATGCGACAGTGTGGGAAATGGACTATCCATTTCTGAGACTGACACAGGAGTAAAAGGGTAATTTAATTGTCCAGGCAAGAAATAATGACGGCCTTGAGGTCGTCTCTCCACTGCCCGTGTGCCAGCAGCTCCTGAGGCAAAGGGCTGGTGGAGTAATTGTCCAGGCAAGAAATAATGACGGCCTTGAGGTCAGTCTAGCTCTCCACTGCCCGTGTGCCATCAGCTCCTGAGGCAAAGGGCTGGTGGACGCAGAATAAGGTTCTCTCCCATGAGTGTATTTTCCAGAAGTGGTACCTTGGGGAGAACAAAAGTTCTGGATTTGCCACCTACTAGCTGTATGGCCTCAGGTAGCTAATTAAGAAGATACATTTGTTAAGCATTTTACTAAGTATGAGGAACCCCTCAGAGATGGATTTAAGTGTATTTTCTAATTTATTTACTCTTTTAATACCTTTATGTATTCATCTGTGAAAGAATAGTAATGCCTGACTTATATGCTATTTTGAGGATGAAAAGGGAGGGCACATTCATGAAAAGGCTTCATAAATCTTAAAAAGGTTAGCTGTTTAATAAAGATTAATTTCAATATTTTCTCCTAGATCTAAAAATGCTATGAGTATTTTCTTTCCAATCCCCAACTATTGGAGACTCCACAGGTTGATGAAAACAGTTGTTAATTGTCGATTTGTATATTGCAAGACATAAAATATGAACAACGATGATGATGTTTTCACCTTCCAGAACACTGCAAACATGAGGTCAGGTGTTTAAAATAATAGCTGCTAAAGGGAGACTAGCTTATTTTATTATACTTCTGCATGAGAATGGCTCTAAGAAGCAAAAGCCTTCCATTTCAGGATAAACCATGAGGAGTAACTTATCATCCTCCCCCACGAATAAATGAAACTTTATGGCCATGCTAAAGGAATGATGTCTAGGCACTCCTTCCTAGGCACTCCATGGGCACTAGGCAAGCACAGTTTCTATTCACACTATTAAAATGGTGATGAGCTACTATGTGGGATGGTGGTTTATAGCCACCAAACATATCATTCCTTGGCTGGGGCTTTGCCATAAGGTTAAAGCAGATATGTAATGAGGCCATGATCCATTTAACATTTTCATATTTTTTTGCTAGGGAATCACTTAAGGACCCTGTCTCTAGGCCAGGCTATCTGCCTGTCCAAGAGTAAACGGATTCATCTGCAGTGAAGATATGAGTCAATATTTTGGCTCCATTCTGAAGCCTTTCTTGGCTTGGACTCAAGTCATTGGACACTGCCTTTCAATTTCCCAGCTACTTCTCTCAAATCTTTTCAAAAGCTATTATACAAAGAATGAACAATGGGACTTATCCAATAGGCCTTCTAAATGCAATGCCCAATAAAGCAACATTGGAGTTACGTAAGCCACTGGTCGCTAAATTCTATCCTTGATCCCCAGGAGATTAGGCAACAGTATGAAATCATCAGTTTGAATGCAACCCAGTACAGAAAACAATTCCAGGGTCAGAAGTACTAATAAGATGCAACTTTTGGTTTATGAAGCACTTTACCCTTACCATGTATAGTAGGGGAAAGTTCAAAAAATACTACTGCATTATAGTGCTACTTAATGATATGAACACAAGAAAAACATTTAAATGAAACAATCACATTGCATGAAATCACTCCTGACCAATTTTCTAAAAACTGGAGCTAGGTAAACCCATTCAAAAATTTCCTCAAAGAATCTGAAAATAAAAGTGTTCTGGGTTCCCATCTGAGAAGCTGACCTGAGATTGTTGGAAAAGGATGCTCTTCTCTGGGTTTATGCCACAGGCCAGGAGAGCCGCAGTCATGTCCAAGATGCTCTGGCGCAGGACCGCTGGGTCTTGAGGGACAGTGATGGAGTGCAGGTCAACGATGCTGTACAGCACGGAGCCGGGCTCGTTCTGCAAGCTCACCCAGCTCTCAATGGCCCCCAGGTAATTGCCCAGGTGGGGGGTTCCTGTGGGCTGAATGCCAGAGAATACTCGCCTCACAGCATCTTTCTGGAACAGAGGAAAACAGACATATTTGCTTCTGGGGTAGAATCCATGAATCCTATGTCCAGGTTACCACAGCTACAATGGCTAGGCTTATTTTTTTAAACTGCAATCTGACAGTCATCATTCTCAATGCGTTTGCTTTGTGCCTACTCTGTGCAAAGCACAGCGTTAGGTGCTATTAGGGACAGAACATTATATTTGAAATGTGGGGTTTGCCCAGCAGGCGTATCTCAGTGGTGGAGCATCGAACTATGAATGAGAAGGTCATGGTTCGATTCCCGGTCAGGGCTGTCCCGGTTGTTTCAGCCTTGATCCCCAGTGTGGGGCGTGCCAGAGGCAGCTGATCAATGATTCTCTCTCATCACTGATGTTTCCATTTCTTTCTCCCTCTCCCTTGCTCTCTGAAATCAATAAAAATATATTTTAAAAAATAAATAAAACATGGGGTTTTTTGGACTCTAAAACTTACGAAGACGCATGCGAAAAGGGTTGCATTCCCCAAGAGAATGCAATCTAATTGGAGAGAGAGGATATGTTTATGAAAAGATACTAGTAAGAGTACAATGTGGCACATGACCTTGATCAGTTTGGAAAGATAAATAGTGGGGTACAGGCGGGAGTTCACAGAAAGAAAAGATGACTGTGGATCCAGTGAGAAAGACTTCAGACGTAGAATCAAATTTCATTGGAAAGTAAAGGGACTTCATGGGTTTTTCATGTGATTTCATTCATTTTGAAGTAAAGGCAATGAAGGCCATAGATTAGGGGTTAAGGCTACTATTTACTTAATTCAGTTTTCTCTAACAATAATTGCTGATGTAATATCAGCAATATTATATAATTAAATATGTATATTAAATGTAGTTAGTTATATAATTAATATAATTAAGTGTGCAGGATCTTGGGCTAGAAATTTGGAAACCTACACTCTATTTCTAATATTACCTCTTGATAAAGTTACTTAACTTTTTTGTGCTTTAGCTTCTTTTTACTTTGATAAATCATACTTGGTTTTTTATTTTTTCAAAAGAAGTTACCCATTGTTGGCCCTTTTACACTTATGACTCAAGATGATTTTAGAATCATCTTGTCAAATTCCAAGAGAAAAAAAATTGTTGGGGTTTTTGATCAAATTACATTGAGTCTATAGATTGCTTTGAGGAGAACCAACATCTTTATACAGTGGGTCCTCCAATACAGGAAACACTTAGCATATGAGTGTTTAAGGTAAAACCCTATGGCTGTAGTTGATAACATTGTGTTGTGTAATTGCAATTTGCTAAGAGACCAGAAGTTAAATGTTCTTACCAAAACAACAACAAAAGCAAACCCACAAAAAACAAACAAATAACATAAGTATGTGAGATGATGGATATGTTACTCAACTATATGGGGGGAATCCTTTCACAATTATATCATATTATCTCCATGCTCACTTTAAATATCTTACAACTTCATTTATCAACTATACCTCAACAGAGCTGAACTTTTAAAAAAGTAATATCAAAAAGTCCTTATCTTTATACCTGCCACTAGCTCCTAAGAGCTAACCTACGTGAGATATGTGAGCGCCAAGGCTACTTACATTTGCCTTTCCCATCCCCAGGAGTTCCAAACACTACAAACATGGTCTGTTTTCCCCTAGCCGCTCACTTTTCTCTCTGCTCCTGAGATGATAGCCCTAAAGTAGAATGCCATGTTATAGGTCCAAAGTTGCACTTGATCGAAGCACTCAGGAGACCTAAAAGATTTTTTACTCTGAGGATATGAAATATATCTTTGAAGTAACTGCAAACAAATATACCTTACCAATGAAAACCACACACACACACACACACACACACACACACACACACACACACACCAGGCCTGCAAATGACTAACTCCCCAAATCATAATTTAGAAATAATTCGTAGTTGAGAACTGAGGCTCAGGGAGCAGGAGAGAAAGAGGGCAGGAGAGAGAGAGAAAGGGGGGAGGGGTCCCGGAGGGAGGGAGGAAGACATGGAGAGAGAAAGAGAGAGGAGTTAGCATAGAATAAGCACCTATCACTGAGGCTTCCTCCAGTACCTTGAGACCTTAACCAGCCCTGGGTTCCTGATATGGGAATAAGCAAAGGAGCTTTCAGTGAGGTAAAAATGATTAATGGGCGTTAGGGACTGATTGATGAAGGGAGAAAGCAAAGCAGAAAAACAAGCTCTGAATTTAATAAATAGAAGAGAGAAAAAAAAATACCATCCAGAAATACTTGACCTAGGATGAAGAGAGACTCTTTATGTTAATGTAAAGAGTTATGACGACTAGGAATATCAATCTGGAAAAAAAAAGAGTAGGAATATTTCCACATCAATCCCTCCATGGTCAAACTGAGGAATTATTCCCCAGGAGAAATGGAGAAACTAATTCTTGAGGAAACTAGAAGAGAAAAGCACCAGAGGGCAGACAGAGGGGAAAAGGAACTGTGACCAGTGGGAACAGCCCGAACAGGATCTAATACATCTTTTTCACTCTCTAGTTTCTGTGATTTTCTATGTCCACGCAAAGGGAATGATGTTATCAAGAAATGAGAGCAACAAGAAATGTTTCGTTCCATGTTCAAGCAGCCATTAAGCAAATACAGCCTGGAAATGAGAACTGGATTTTTGGTCTTAAAAATATACAGAGAGCATCCTGCTCTTCTGCGGTGAGTTTATGTTCACGTCTGTTCCTGGGCAAGAGTCAGCAGGCAGCCCAGCGGCATGGCGGGGGAGATATGCCTGGTACCATGAAATCAGAGGGCTGGAATGTGGAGTTTGGATGGTGGGAGGATGGGGGTTCTGTGTTCAAAAGCACTAGAGTTGGGGGAGGGGGGGAAAGCCTGGGCTTCCTAGTGGACGGGAGGCAAACCACAAAGAAAACAGCTTTAGGACTAGCCACAGGCATTCATTCACTCATGGGAAGCCTGGAGCATCAACCTACAATCTCATCACAGAGTACCGGGGGTAAAAAAAGGAGCATTTTCACAAAACAGGGCTTCATTTTTATTTCAGGTGTATTTCCTTAACAAATGCCACTTCCAACCAGTACAGTGATTGGCTCATTTTGTAACAGGACCAGCACTCCCAATGGGCAGCTGCAGCCCTGGGATTTGAAGTGTTCCAGAAGAGAGGGTGGGTGTGCGAATCAAAGGGAGAGCATACTGATCAATCTGGCAGATGTAGCTAAAACTCTTCCTGTCTGAAGGTACAGTGCATATGTAAAAATCATAATTATCTTAATTTTAACTACTGCACCCAAATACAATTGAAAAATCCCAAGCTGGTAATTATGGGAAAAGATAGTTTTTGTGATTAACTAAATAGAGCTTCTGTCTTTAATCGCAAGTGAATAAAATACATTAAAAGGAGGCTGCCTACTAGCTTTGAAACTCAATGACGGTGGGAACCAGACATCAACAAAAGATTTCAAGACTCATTACAGAATCCTGCTTACATCCAGCTGCAACGCCAATTGTTCATCACACCTGTCTCAACCACAGTCAAAGGTAAACCAAAAACTTGGCTGAACAACTACTATGTCCAATTGGTCCTATGAATGGCATGTTATCACAGATTGTGATAAAGGAGTAATCAGCCTGGCCAGTGTGGCTCAGTGGTTGAGTGTCAACCTATGAACCAGGAGGTCACGGTTCAATTCCTGGTCAGGGCACACGCCTGGGTTGCCAGCTTGATCCCCAGTAAGAGGGCATGCAGGAGGCAGCCAATAGGTGATTCTCTCTCATCATTGATGTTTCTATCTCTCCCTCTTCTTCCTCTCTCTGAAATCAATCAAAAATATTTTTTAAGTAATCAACAATAATAGTATCAACTAATTGGGATGAAAGTCTCTTTCTGTAAGTCTATTTATTCTGTGTGTAAAGTATACAGCTTAACACTCTCATTCCTTAGCTCTCTGTTAGCATTCTCAATTCTATCCTTTATGTCACCCAACTATTTCAGTCCTAGGCTCCTTGAATATCTCCTCAAAACTCTTTAAAATGTGTGCACTACCAATTAGTGATTTAAGAGCTGAAATAGAAGCGACCCTGTATAGCAAAATAGCACTTCAGCCGGGAGGACCCAGGTGCTGCGTCTTTGAAGCTTTCTTTGGCTGTGGCTCAGCATTGTTCTGCCGCAGTCAGCTCTTTCTTCCAGAAAGTACAGGAGCCCAGGGTCTGGAGAGAAAGTGCTGACTCAGCACCGAGAAAAATGGGTTTGTTTCTGCTTAGAAATGAAACCAGATGCTCAGATCTGGGAATCAATATAGTAAATATTCGGTATAAGAGAAAGCAGGTCATATATGGCCCCCAAAGAAGAAATAATATGTAGGTCAACAATTAAAACGGAAGGAAAGATTGTTTTTTAAAAAGGGTGGAACTTATCTTTTTTTTAAAGACTGTGATTTTCTTTTTAAAAAAATATATTTTATTGATTTTTTACAATAAAAAAATTAGAGGAAGGGAGAGGGAGAGGGACAGAGAGTTAGAAACATTGATCAGCTGCTCCTGCACACTCCCTACTGAGGCTGTGCCTGCAACCAAGGTCTAGCCCTTGACCGGAATCAAACCAACACCTCCCCTTCAGTCTGCAGGCCAACACTCTATCCACTGAGCCAAACCGGTCAGGGCTAGACTGTGATTTTCTTAAGAGGCCAGTGGTTGGCAAACCGCGGCTCACGAGCCACATGCGGCTCTTTGGCCCCTTGAGTGGGGCTCTTCCACAAAATACCGACTTCTGGGCATGGGCCATTAAGTTTCAATCGCACTGTACGTGCACGCCCGCATGTGGTATTTTGTGGAAGAGCCACACTCAAGGGGCCAAAGAGCCGCATGTGGCTCGTGAGCCACGGTTTGCCAACCACGGGCCTAGGTGATAAGCACTTGGTACCTATTGTTAGGCGAGTGAAAGAATTTAAAAGGAATAAACTTGAGTTTTAAAAGTTTCCTAGAGACTTTTTAAGCCACTTCCAAATATTAAGAGCTGGGC